GGGTTATTTGTCCTTTATTTGGTTTATTTTTTGCCTATTTGTGATTTTTTTTTTTTACCCAATTTTTGGGGGTTTTTACCCCATTTTGGGGTTATGTTACCTTTTTTTGGTGTTATGGCTCCAATTTTTGGGATTATTTTGCGCATTTTTGGGGTTATTTTGCCCCTTTTTGGGGTTATTTGTCCTTTATTTGGTTTATTTTTTGCCTATTTGTGATTTTTTTTTTTTACCCAATTTTTGGGGGTTTTTACCCCATTTTGGGGTTATTTTTACATTTTTGGGGGTTATTTTACCTTTTCTGGGTTATTTTGTCCCTTTTGGGCTTATTTGTCCTTAATTTGCTTTATTTTTTACTTATTTGGGGCCTTTTTTACCCCTTTTTGGGGTTATTTTGCCCATTTTGGGATTATTTAACCCTTTTTTGGGATTATTTCTAATTTCGGGGGTTATTTTGCTCATTTTGGGGGTTATTTATCCTTTATTTGCTTTATTTTTTGCCTATTTTGTGGTTATTTTACCCATTTTGGGGTTATTTTACCCCATTTTGAGCTCATTTTCCTCCTTTTTGGGAGTCTTTTAACCCATTTTAGAATATTTTTACCCATTCTGGGGTCATTTCACCCTTTTTGGGGTCATTTCACCCTTTTTGGGGTCATTTTATCCCTTTTTGGGGTAATTTCACCCCTTTTTGGGGTCATTTTACCTTTTATTTGCTGTTATTTCACCTTTTTTGGGGTAATTTTTCCCCTTTTTGGGGTCATTTCACCATTTTTGGTGTCATTTTATCCTTTTTGGGGTCATTTCACCCCTTTTTGGGGTCATTTTACCTTTTATTTGCTGTTATTTCACCTTTTTTGGGGTAATTTTTCCCCTTTTTGGGGTCATTTTATCCTTTTTGGTGTCATTTTATCCTTTTTGGGGTAATTTCACCCCTTTTTGGTGTCATTTTATCCCTTTTTGGGGTTATTTTACCCTTTATTTGCTGTCATTTCACCTTTTTTGTGGTGATTTTTCCCCTTTTTGGGGTGGTTTATTCCCTTTTTGGGGTCATTTCACCCCTTTTTGGGGTCATTTTACCCTTTATTTGCTGTCATTTCACCTTTTTTGTGGTGATTTTTCCCCTTTTTGGGGTGGTTTATTCCCTTTTTGGGGGCATTTTCCCCCTTTTAGGGACTCTTTTACCCCCGGGGGGGGTTGAATTTGCCCCGGGGGGTCCAAAGTTGCC